TGGACCCCTACTTCCCTCTCTCTTTTTTAATAGTCCATATAGTCATAATTATAGCTTTAAGTATTCAATGAATAAAGTTTTTGACATTTTTACCCTTCTCCTTACCTAACATCATTTGTGCAGCATATTTTTATTTTATGTCTCACCCAGATTTAATCTCAAAATAAAACTAAACTAAATAAATTAAAAATGGGTATGTATAGCTAAGGTACACCCTTACTACTAGGTGAACAGGGGCATTTGGTGATAGTAAATTATCCCATCAGGCAGGGCTCATCACCTTCTCTCATATGTCATGTTCACCAGTGTTTATTTACTTAATAACTACGGGTATAATATCTTGCTATTATACAACTAATTTTAATATCATAAAAGACATATTTACTCAAAGTTTCAAGCAGAGAATGCATATATAACTAACACGAAAGACTCCTCTTCACGAGATTCAATTTTTATAATCTTTTGTTTATGTTCCAAAATCTTAAAATCGATCCCAGTGTTATGTAGTAGAGAAAAATTGAGTTATATCCAGTTTACGTAAAGTTACGAGTGGTCGAAACCACACTTAGATCCCGGACCAAACTTATGAAGGTTTTTTGACTTAGTGTAGCTACCTGAATACCGACGTAGCCGCCACGAAGGCGCTAAGAAGGAAAATATTCGTAGCTAAGAAGAAAAACCTTCGTAAGTACCTTCGTGATTCTGGCCCCAGGCTCTTGGGGTATGTCTGACTAAACTTTGCATGGTGATTGCTGTTGCGTGTTGCATAAGAGGCAAACATGGAACAATCGTGGTAGATCTAAGTGAAAAGAGTACAACGTATCACGTTGCCTTAGAAAGCCCAATGGAAATCGTCACTATTGCATTCTGACTGAACTCTGAAAGAGTACTATATTATTATTATTATCATTCATGAGAAAATCAGTTGGAGCAATGTTTAAGATTCGAACCCTTGACCTTAGTACTTCCAAGCCACGTACCTTACCTCAGGACCATGACATGGAATAACTTTTATTCCCTGGGATTCCAGTGAACCTAAATTGCAGCCTGAGGTACCTGCTGAAGCTAATGCAGTTTTTTTTATTTAACTCCCATGCACTCTGGTAAAGGTATTGGAGTTCTTATTCCTGCAGCTTAATATGCTCCAGCTCCAGTTCTCATTACCCTCCAGCACTGATCAAATTGATTGTCTTATTGTTACATCAGACTAGTGTGATTCCCCCGTGCATTATTATTATTATTATTATCATTATTATTATTATTATTATTATTATTATTATTATTATTATTATTATTATTATTATTATTATTGTTGTTGTTATTATTGAGAAAATCCATTGGGGCTTTGAAGCGACGTGAACCTGTAACCAAGGCATTCCAGCCTCATACCCTACCACGGTACAAAACTGAAATCTCACGACGTCAGGAGGCCCCTACTGAAGCCAGCCCGTTCTTACCCATGACCCACAACCAACAAGGGGTCATACGGAAGTAGGGGCCTCCAGACTTCCTGTGATTTGAGTAAGATCAACATAATAACTTAGCAATTATTCGTATACTTGTATGTCAATATCGTTTTATTTATTTAAATTCCTGCGAAGATGCAGCTAACGGTGCAAAAGTCCTTACCTATGGACATAGTCATTTTAGATTTCTAGACAAAGTCTGACGACTCTATTCCAAAAAGAGCACGGCTTATATATGTTAATTCCCAGTTTATGAGTATTTTTTGTAATAGAGAAATATTCCAACATGCCACTGCAGCAACCAGGGGCCGGATTCAGGAAGGTACTTACGAAGGTTTTTCCTCTTAGCTAAGAGCGTTTTCCGTCTTAGCGCCTTCGTGGCGGCTACGTCCGTATTCAATTAACTACCCTAAGTGGAAAAACCTTCGTAAGTTCATTCCGGGATTTAAGTGTGGTTTCGACCACTCGTAGCTTTACGTAAACTGGATATAAGTCATTTTTTCTCTACTACATAACACTGGGATCGATTTATGATATTGGAACATGACCAAAATATTATAGCTGGTGAATCTAGTGAAGAGTAGTCCTTCGTGTTAGTTATATATGCATTCTCTGCTTGAAACTTGAAGTAAATATGTGTTTGATGATAGTAGAATTAGTTTTATAATAGAAAGATATTATACCAGTAGTTATTAAGTAAATAAACACTAGTGAACATGAAATGAGAGAAGGTGATGAGCCCTGCCTGATGGGATCATTTACTATCACCAAATGCCCCTGTTCACCTAGTAGTAAGGGTGTACCTTAGCTATACATACCCATTTCTAATTTATTTAGTTTGGTTTTATTTTGAAATTAAATCTGGGTGAGACATAAAATAAAAATATGCTGCACAAATGATGTTAGGTAAGGAAAAGGGTAAAAATGTCAAAAACTTTATTCATTGAATACTTAAAGCTATAATTATGACTATATAGATTATTAAAAAAGAGAGAGGGAAGTAGGGGTCCAAGACCTCTTCCTGTTATACAATTTGGGTGTGGAACAAGTAATTATCAAAAGAAGGCACCATGCGGGAAGGCTATGTAGCAGTAAGGCAGTGAGGTGAGGCAGCTACTTATTTGAGAAATGTTTATTTTATTTACCTTATAAGCTGAGGCAACTTATTTTATTTGAAGAATACTCAGCTGATTCCTCTGCATTTAGCATGGAACAAATTTGTGTCCAAGACCTCTTCCTGTTACTCAATTTGGCTGTGTGTAACCAAACTAGAAGTGCTCTACAAATCAAGGGACCCAGAATGTGGAATGACCTCCCGAATCATGTCAAAGGCTGTACCTCTCTCAACCAGTTTAAGAGTTAAACCAAGTACTGCCTAATTAACTCCATGTAACCTAACTTACCTCCTAAATGTCAATCCATGTCTTGCTATTTTTTAAACAACGCTGTTCACCAACATGTGCAATTGCTGATTTATGCTATGTTAACCCCCTTTTTGTATTTTTTATTCCTTCTTTCAACACAGTTTATACCTAATCCCGATTACTATTAAGTTTTAGTCTGTGTTTTTTTCCCCCCACACCTTGCCCGAAATGCTATGAGTATTAGTGGCTTTAGGTATTGTATGTACAAGCTCTGCCTATAAAGCCAACATTATGTTTGTAAATCAACTGTATGTACTTTTCCTGAATAAAATGTATTTATTATTTATTTTTTAATCAGTAAGTATTAAAAGAAGGCACCAAGCTGGGAAGGCTATGAAGCACCATTGTGTGTAACAATAAACCAAATTTTTTTTAACAAATAATGCACCTGTATGGGAAAACAAATCCTGTCAGCTGTAAAAATATTGATGCAGTTATTTAAATGAAAAATATAATGAAGAAATATTACTGGTTTATTTTTATCCTATCTTTTTGTACTGTACAGTATATCCAAGGAAGTGAAAAATTGAGACATAATGCGCAATTTAATGAATGATTAGCATGGATTAGCAGTTCAAAAGAAATATGACTTGTATTACATATCAACATGAGATCTTAATGATCCATGGTCAACATGATTTAATAAGGATAATACAGTACTGTATTTGTATTAATACAAACTATAATTTAAAATCTTTATTACTGATTATTTTTATTAAGAAGATTAGGTATACACAGCAATGTGCTGCTACCCTATTCTATATGGAATATTACACAGTGTAGATAAAAAACTAGCTATAAGTTTATCTAATACTCCCATCTCACAGGATGGTTAGACGTACTGTACATGGAATCAATTTAGAAAATACCAGCCTTAATACAAAAAACAAATCAACTCTGACTAAACAACTCTAAGCAATTTTCACAAGAGGTAAGCACTGAATCATGGAAACATTATATTATAATTACTCTTACCAGTTTCTACAAAACTCCTCTCAAACAATGTATTTTTAAACATGTTTAGGTATACACAGCAATGTGCTGCTTCCCTATTCTGTATAAAGGACCACACAGTGTAGATCAAAAACCAGCTACAAGCTCACCCAACATCCTCACCTCACAGGATGGCCAGTCATATATGGAATTAGGAGAGAACAAAATACTGAATGCTGATCTATTTGCCTCCACTGGCAAAATCTGGGTGCAGCACAAGAATATCTTCCAATATTCCTGAGTGTATGAAGTAATTACAGAGCTCAAAATACCTCATACCATTTGGTATGAAGTCACTGATAACAGGACAATCACAGATATAGTGTTGGAGAGTATGTTCTCTCAAGTAGGACTGAAAACAGATGTTTTTTTTTCCACCAAGAGGGCTATAAACCCATGGAACCGCCTACCCGCTGAAGCCGTAAATGCCAAATTCCAGCTAAAAAATATCATTAAGGCAATTGGCGGGCCCTTTAACAAGCCGCCGGCTTTCTGTCCTCTTCGAGGTCACTAGATAGTTAGTGGCCCTTGGGTAAATTCAGTAAATATATACAATAATTGTCAGCGCATCTTCCGAGCAACAAGGACAGCTACACAGTATCTCTTAGAATTACGTAGGTAAACAACAAATGTAACATATTTGTTTATTACAATGTCGGTGCTGGCTGTAGAAGTTGAAAAAACATTGTTTTACTTCGAAATATACTAATTTCATAAGAAAATTCGACGTAAATAGGAGGCAGTAGAGCTCCGATAAGCCAGCGCTAAATCTTCAATATGAAGAATGTTGCTGCTCTCTGATTGGCCAAACGAAACACAGTAGTGACCTCTATTGGCACGCAGGTGAACCAACAATTTTCTTCCAAAGTATACCTTATTGAATCGCACCTAAGCATCTTCTTAGGGCGCACTTAGGAACCTTCGTAGCAAACCCACTTACGAAGAAATACACAGAGCTTCCTGAATCTAGGTCCAGGTCTCAGTCTCATGACTGATCACCAGAGAGAGATGATTAGTTCTTACATTCATATTATACCGTTCTACCTGGCATTGTAATTAAATGGTCCAGTGGAGTGAGAATTTTGGGGTGTGATTAGCTCCTGTAATCACCTGACAGATGTCGGAGGAGGAGGTTACAGCAGTACTAGAAACAGCGCTGGAGTGTGGGTACCGACACTTCGACACAGCTGCTTTCTACCGCAACGAGACTATCATTGGCCAGGTCCTGCGGCGGTGGATCTCTGAGGGCAAAGTTAAGCGGGAGGAACTCTTCATCACAACAAAGGTAGTATCACTGACAAACAACAATGGTCTTCATTTGAAAGTTAATGGCATTCTCCGTAGTCATTTTGTCAAGATTTATATGTAATTTAACGGCATTATTTTGTTGAGCTTCCAAGCATGTGAGAATTATATTATTAAAGTATTTTGTTCATACACGCATTACTATTCAACACTATTATTAATAGGAAGTTATTGCAACGAATTTGACTATTTCTCAAATTTATATTTGTTTTAAGTGAACGTCTTCGACAGAACTACAGAGGGCAACTAGGCCTAACAATGTTTGTGTTATTGCTGACAAAATTTTGGCTGGTGGTGGTTTGCCACTGACAGGGTGACGTTTGCCTTAGCCATGGGGTCGTCTCGCCCTCCAGTGCAGAGGACATTGTCGGCTGGTCTAGCGTTTACTGTGCCGGTGGACCATGCATTGGTTGGTGTCGCCCTGGTGGACGTGCTTCATGTGCAGCTGTCGGACCTGGTGGGCATCTAGCTGCTTCAGGGCAACCGTGCTATGGTCAAGTTCCGCCCCCAGGCTGCCTTTCAGGCGTTTCTCGAGCGTTGTGAGGGGCGTGTTTACCTTCTCCCTGATTCAGCTGGCTCAGTTAAGGTGGTGAATCTTAGTGTCACCTTGACATTTGTGGCGGTGCATGGTGCCCCCTTCGAATTTCAGGACGACTTTTTAACCTCCTGTTTTGAGCGATTTGGGACAGTGTTAAACGTTCGTTGGAACAAGGTCGTTGTCGGGCACTGTGTTGGTATACTTGACGGCTCCCGCACCCTGACAATGTCGCTGAAGTGTAGTGTACCGTTGTCGATATCCGTGTTGGGTTACACGCTCCATTGCCTGTATCGGGGTCAACCGCGCACCTGTTATCGGTGTGGTCACGAGGGTCATCTGGCTGCGGCGTGCAACGTGGGAGCAACTGGTCGGGTACATGTTTTTTGTGCGGAGGATTTCCCGCCTTTGTTACATTCGGACGGTTCTGAGGACGGAGTAGGTGCTGTGCCTGAGGCGCCTGATTGCCTGTCTGCTGCTCCTCCTGTTGAGGCGAGTTTTACGGCCCGTGCGACACGTCTGGTGACTGTTGTGGCCCCTGGGGTTGTTGAGCCAGTGTGTATGGGTGTCGGGCCGTCGCCTGAGCTGCGTGTAGTGACAGATGTCCCGGTGGAGGTCCATGTCCCGCCCCCGCCTGTGGATGTGATACCGGCTCCCGGGAACGCGGGTTCTGCTGTTTTAGAGGGGGTGCTTCGGCAGAGGGAGGTGCCTGCCGTGCCTGCGTATATTGGTGACTGTAGTTCTGCTCTTTCCATCCCTTTGCAGAAGCGCGCGCGTCGGTGTTCTGAGGCTGTTTCCATGGATGATGTAGACAGTGTGGGTGATGTGGCCTCTGTGGACTCTTCGGACGGTGCGGTTGTGGCCTGTGTGGATGTAACGATTGTGGCTGTGCCTGCGGCGGGGCCTGCTGGGTGTTTTTTGGTGCGGCCTGTCTCGAAGCGTTTGTGGCGGGCTCGGAGTGTGTCTCCCCTTAGTGGTGTGCCTTGGGAGGAGGTGGGGGAGTATGGTGATCTGGAGTCCCCCGCCGTGGATGATGGTGCTGTGAGGGGCTCCGATGTTGCTACCTGTGCCCCCCCCCCCTCTTGTGTCTCCAGCTGTTGGATCTCCACAGTGGGGGGTTGTCCCTGGTGATCGGGAGCTCGTCGTGATGTTGCGGAAAGATGTGCACCGGGGGGGGATCGGCTCCTGTGCCCGGTGGTGGGGTCGGTGCCGCGCCTGAATCCCCTGCTGTATCCCCTCCTACCTTGCTCCGGTCTGGGGATTGCCTAGTCCCGTATGCTGGGGTCGTGCCCTGTGAGGGTCCGGAGTTGGACCCTTATCGGGATGCTTGGGTGCTTCCGGTCCCGTGGTGCCCGTCCACTGTCTGGGTGTCGCGGGTGAAGGAATTTGTGTATAGGGTGTCGGATAGGATGTCTAAGACAAGGGCGCCGCCTGGTGGCCGGCTGCCCGCTGATCTGCGGGTGATTTGGGAAGCGTACTGCTTGCCCTTTCCGATACACAAGTTTCCGGAGAAGTATTAGTTCCCGTCTTGCGCACACTGCTAAGCCGTGCGTGGATCAGCTGCCGCCGTAACCACGACGCCCCGCCCCCTGGTGCGGGGTGTCTCCTTCTAACGTCCGCTTCTGTTTTCGTCGCCACTCCTCTCTCTACGGTCCATCACATCTAACACTTTTGACTTTCTTCTCCTCCTAACCGTCAACGCATCTCCTTATATCTGTCCTGGTGCAGTCATCGGGAGGGTTAACCCTGCATGCAAACTGCACCTATTCTCAAGAAGAAGAAGACTAAATTTTTTTGGGGAGAATTTACTGAACAAACAATACAGAGAATGCTGAAGCAAATTATTCATGTCACACCACACCATGTCACGTAGTGTGACATGACGTGATGTGACACGACGTGATGTGACATGACGATGTGTGACTTTACGTGATGGGACTCTAGTGGTGAGTGACATTATACAGAACTGAGGTGTGAGGGTGGCTCGTTGGCGGCTGTTGGGTGCAGACGTGTCGTTCGTAGCGCTCACCAGTTCCACCCTAGTGGCTGTGTGAGGAGGGTGTCTGTGGGGGTGTTGTCCCCCGGGTGGGCGTGGTACGCCTGTTGAGGAGACATGGAGTCTTACCGGCCTCCATTGAAGAGGACCTTGTCGGCTGCTCTGGCTTTTATGGTGCCAGTGGACCACTTGTTGGTTTTTATTGCCCTGGTGGATGTTCTTCATGTGCAGTTGTCGGAATTGGTGGGCATCTAGCTGCTGCAGGGGAACCGTGCCGTGGTCAAGTTTCGCCATCATGCTGCATTTCAGGCGTTTCTGGGGCGGTGTGATGGGCATGTTTAACCTCTCCCTGATGCCGCCAGTTCTGTTAAGGTAGTGAACATCAGCGTCGCCTTGACGTATGTGTCGGTGCGTGGTGCCCCATTCGAGTTTAACGACGATCTCCTAACTGCTGTGTTTGAACAGTTTGGTACTGTGCTAAGCATTCGTTGGGACAAGGTACTTGCAGGGCACTGTACTGGGATGCTTGATGGTTCCCGCACCCTGACCATGTCTCTGAAGAGTAGTGTTCCGTCCTCTGTGTCCGTGTTGGGTTACACGCTCCGTTGCCAATATCATGGGTAACCGCGCACCTGTTACAGGTGTGGTAATGTGGGTCATCTCGCTGCAGCGTGCAACATGGGAACCACTGGCAGGGTGCATGTTTCTCGTGAGGAGGACTTTCCACCCCTGTTGACTTCGGACGCTTCTGAGGATGGAGTGGGAAGCTGTGCCTGAGGCGCCTGATTGTTTGTTTGCTGCTCTGTCTGTTGAGGCAGATACTGTGCCTTCTGCGTCCAGTCTGTTACCTGCTGTGGCCCCGAAGGTAGTTGTTGTACCGGAGTGTACGAGTGTCGGGCAGTTGCCCGCACTGTGTGTGGTGGATGTCCCAGTGGATGTCCATGTCCTGCCCCCGTCTGTGGATGTGGTACCGGCTCCCGGGGACGCAGGTCCTGTTCTGGAGGGGGGGGCTTCGGCAGGAGGAGGTGCCTGCCGTGTCTGTGTGTGTTAGCGACTGTAGTTCTGCTCTTTCCATCACTTTTCAGAAGCGTGCGCGTCGGTGTTCTGAGTCAGTTTCCCTGGATGATGAGGACAGTGTGGGTGAAGTGGCCTCTGTGGACTCTTCGGATGGTGTGGGTGTGAAGATGGTGGCTGTGCCTGCGGAGGGGCATGCTGGGAGTGGTGTGGTGCAGCCTGTCTCGAAGCATTTGCGGCGGACTCGGAGTGTGTCTCCTCTTCGTGGTGTGCCTTGGGATATGGTGGGGGAGTATGGTGCTTTGGCGTCCCCTACCGTGGATGATGGTGCTGTGAGGGGCTCCGAAGTTGCTACTTGTGCCCCCTCCCCCTCTGCGTCACCTGTTGTTGGTTCTCCGCAGTGGGGGGTGGCCCCTGATGATCGGGACCTCGTCGTGGTGTTGCGGAAAGATGTGCGTCGGGGGGCCTTGGCTCCTGTGCCCTGTGGTGGGGTCGATGATGCGCCTGCATCCCCTGCGGTTTCCCCTCCTTCATTGCCTCGGTCTGGGGGAAGCCTAGTCCCAACTGCTGGGGTCGTGCCCTGTGGGGGTCCGGTGTTGGGCCCTTATCGGGATGCCCGAGTGCTTCCGATCCCGTGGTGCTCGTCTACTGTCTGGGTGTCGCGTGTGAAGGAGTTTGCTTAGTGTGCTGGATAAGATGTCTCAGCCAAGGCCACCTTCTGGTGGCCAGGTGCCCGATGACACGTGGGTGATTTGGAAAGCATACTGCTTGCGCTTTCCGATATACAAGTTCCCGGAGAAATATTAGTTAACGTCTTGCACACAACGCTACCCGTGCATGGATCAGCTGCCGCCGTCAACTCGTCACCCCTCCCTACGGTGCGGGGAGTCTCCCTCTAATGTCCTCCTCTGTTTTCGTCGCCACTCCTCTCTCTACGGCCCGACACATCTTCTTTCTTCTCCTCAACGTCAACGCGTCTCTCTACATCTGTCCTGGTGCAGTCATCGAGGGGTAAACCCTTCATGCAAACTGCACCTGTTCTCGAGAAGAAGAACTGAGATATACATTCAAACTATAAAACATTTACAAACATTCTCAGTAAATCCCAAGTAGCCAGCCATGATCCACATTTACATTGTTTATGTCACATAACCTTGACCCAAAATGGATAACCAGGGGATTTAGAACCTTGTAAGAGAAAAGGTTATATGCCTATTAATTATTAATAGTGAAGTCTATTTAGTACAAGAAATTGTCAAACTAGCAAAAAATGATTTTAACAAAAAATTAATAGCTGAAATAAGTTTTGAAATACGTACAACAGAGCAGGCAGAGGTAAATTTCACAGACGTTTTCACATGTATAAAACAAATATAGTTGTGGAAACTGGGAAATAGAAAAAATGAGACAGGTCAGGTAATTAATTATAACAAAGAAATGGATCGGATAATGAGTAATTTATTTCGGTATTTACATGATAAGACCTTTATGTTATGGCAGGAGCTGAACAAACGTGTGAAGATGGTGAGGAAGACAAGTGGCCTAGTTTAGTGGCTATACCAGGTACAATGTTATTAAACAATTAGGACCAAATTAAGCCCAACACGTCTCCAGGCCAGACGAAGTATTTGGCAGGATTTTTAGAAATTGCAAAAAAAAAAAATGCCTAGTGAACCCTTGTCTTGCACATTAAATTAATAATTAATTAGAGTCGAGGAATCGTGAATAAAATATATTTCAAGCAGTTGACAGCGGAAATAATAGTGACATTCTATATGTGAACTCTAACAAAGCCTTTAATGCTGGGCCTCATCATAACCTCATTAGAAGTGCAAGGAATCGAGGAGAGGATTAGTTTCTTAAACTGTTTCAGGTTACTTTACAAAAAGCAGAGAGTTAACACAAATGACATCATTGGATGTATTCTGCAAAACACTTGCTGACAAGGTACTGGGTCCACACGGGACTGAAACTTCACCAGTGCCATTCTAGGCAACAAGTTTCAGTTGGATGTGTCGACCTGAGTAGTCTTGGTGGATGTGAACCAAGGGCTCCGAGTCTCATCTAGGGTTTTTGAAAATTCCTTGTGATTGTATTTAGTATTAATGATTTGCCAAGAGACATCCCAAGTAATCTATCTGGAATTATTTTAAACTGGAGCTTCAGACTATCAGACTCGCTGCGATAAACTCACGTACTCGACATGATTAATTAATAATGACGCAAGACAGTCTATAACCAGTCATTATATTGCTGAGTGGTTACGCAAGGGATAGTAAAGTTAGATGTAGTCACTAGGAGCATAGAGACAGTCAATAGTCGTCTGAGGAATCAGGTAAATCAATATGGCTCCGAATGTCGTTACACTAGCTTAAGTGATAGTTGGCACTTAGCAAGCAAGCACTTAACAATCACTTAATAGCCAGAAACATACCAGGCAGGCATACATTAAGAATCAGGCACTTTTAAGGAAAGCATTTATTAGGTAGGAACTTAGGACGTAGACACTTAGGTGGGTACTGAGGCAAATATTCCACTGCTGCCACCTGCGGTGATTAGGGGTACAGTGGTACCTGTACCGCTAGTGTCATCTGTGATGACCAGGGGTACAGTGGTACCTGTACCGCTAGTGTCATCTGTGATGACCATGGGTACAGTGGTACCTGTACCTCTAGTGTCACCTGTGAGGACCAGGGGTACAGTGGTACCTGTACCGCTAGTGTCATCTGTGATGACCAGGGGTACAGTGGTACCTGTACCTCTAGTGTCACCTGTGAGGACCAGGGGTACAGTGGTACCTGTACCGCTAGTGTCATCTGTGATGACCAGGGGTACAGTGGTATCTGTACCTCTAGTGTCACCTGTGAGGACCAGGGGTACAGTGGTACCTGTACCGCTAGTGTCATCTGTGATGACCAGGGGTACAGTGGTACCTGTACCTCTAGTATCACCTGTGATGACCAGGGGTACAGTGGTACCTGTACCGCTAGTGTCATCTGTGATGACCAGGGGTACAGTGGTACCTGTACCGCTAGTGTCACCTGTGAGGACCAGGGGTACAGTGGTACCTGTACCTCTAGTATCACCTGTGATGACCAGGGGTACAGTGGTACCTGTACCTCTAGTGTCACCTGTGAGGACCAGGGGTACAGTGGTACCTGTACCGCTAGTGTCATCTGTGATGACCAGGGGTACAGTGGTACCTGTACCGCTAGTTTCACCTGTGATGACCAGGGGTACAGTGGTACCTGTACCGCTAGTGTCATCTGTGATGACCAGGGGTACAGTGGTACCTGTACCGCTAGTGTCACCTGTGAGGACCAGGGGTACAGTGGTACCTGTACCTCTAGTGTCACCTGTGATGACCAGGGGGTACAGTGGTACCTGTACCACTAGTGTCACCTGTGATGACTAGGGGTACAGTGGTACCTGTACCTCTAGTGTCACCTGTAATGACTAGGGGTACAGTGGTACCTGTACCTCTAGTGTCACCCGTGATGACTAGGGGTACAGTGGTACCTGTACCTTTAGTGTCACCTGTAATGACCAGGGGGTACAGTGGTACCTGTACCTCTAGTGTCACCCGTGATGACCAGGGGTACAGTGGTACCTGTACCACTAGTGTCACCCGTGATGACCAGGGGTACAGTGGTACCTGTACCACTAGTGTCACCTGTGAGGACCAGGGGTACAGTGGTACCTTTACCACTAGTAATTTGTGTTAATATATACATGCAATGCACGGTCCTGTTTTGCGTCCTCCATGTTACAATATTTTCATAGTATATCAACAATATTATTATTTTTAATTTTAAAAATATATGTAGGAACTTACATTTATTTTGTATATAAATCTAAAGTTTTATTTGCGGTCTCGCTTCATGCAGGTCGCCGTTCAATCCCCGACTGTCTAAGTGGTTGGGCACCATTCCTTCCCCCCCCCCCCCCTGTCCCATCCCAAATCCTTATCCTGACCCTCTTCCCAGTACTATTTTCGTAATGACTTGGCGCTTTCTCCCTGATAGATCCCTTCTTTTCTTCAAATATATACCGTCTGTACACATGATAGTTACTATTAATGCAACACTTCTGTATAGTACAACTTTTTTTATTATATCGAGATTAAATATAAACACATTATTGTTTTGGTTTCAGTATATATTATTTTTCTTCATATAATTAGACGTTGAAGAGGTGTTCTACCTTTCATTTTTGTCGTACCGGTAAATTTCTAGACTAAAATTTTTTGAAACCTTAAAATTCTCAACGTTCAACTTCTCTTCAATTTACAATTTTACAACATTTAAATTCAATATTTTTCATACCACTGCGTTTATTATCTAATCTAATAGTTGCTTTATGTTTTACTGAGTAACAGAGAGGCGCCATGAAACATAACGGATAATGATCCGGGATAATGAAGCCTAATTGGATCATTATATTCAGCTGTGTTCTCTTCTAGAAATAATGACAGTGTTAGGCAGGTTATATTTAGCTATGTTCTCTACCATACACTGTGTTTCAGGTCGAGTACTATGTACCTACTCCTCTCTCTGGTAGCTGTAGACAGTAAACAAGTAAATGACCTTTCCCTCAGCTGCCGTCTAACGGTAACCGTGAGAAGGACGTGGGCAGGTTCCTGCAGAAGTCCCTCGATGACCTGGGTCTACCCTACGTCGACCTCTACCTCATCCACAGTCCTTGTGGCATCCTTGGTACGTCATCCTGCCACCGTGGTACGGGTCCTCGGGGATCACACCATCTTGTCTTCATCATAGAGTAATCTCTTAAGTTCATATGATCTTCCATCTATTTTCCCATCCACTGCGTGAAGTTGGTATTACGACCGCCTAGCTTCTTACCAGGTCGCCGTTCGATTCCCAACGGTCAGTGTGGTTGGGTATAGTTCATAAACCCCGGCCTGAAATCCCATGTCCTTGTCCTCGCATCATTTCCTAGTGCTATATTGTCATTCTGGCTCAGTATATCCCCCTGATATTTATCTTATTTTACCTCCATGACATAACACAATCCACATTCCATGAATATGTTTTAATTCTGTGATAATGTTGAGTTAATGTTCCAGGATGTAAAGAGTTCGCTGCTTTGATAACTTCTTGCCGTCACTAAAGTTATCAAAGCAACGTAATTATCTTTTAATTTTCTTGACACAATGTTGTTTCGACGGTATCAGGATGTTTTCTATATATTATTAAATTGATATGAAATGGCAATAGCAGATGTTCTCTTCATTTTACCACTATGTTTTAATGATGATGTTATCACGCTCATTTTAAATGGTCACAAATACTTTGCCATTTGTAACATTTTTATGAAATTCCCATTATTTTGAAGAGATAATAATAATGTGATTTTGTTAGGACAACTGTTATTGTCACAACGTTCGATTGACGTCACGATATTATCTTCATGTCACAAAGTTTTCTTATTATAATTTTCTTTTAACGTCACTGTGTTCCGTAGACGAAGCTATATTTCATGAGTGTCCACAATACAGCCGGGAGAAGTTGTCACGCTACAGTTGGGGAAGTTGTCACGCTACAGCCGGGAGAAGTTGTCACGCTACAGCCGGGGAAAGTTATCACGCTACAGCCGGGGGAAGTTGTCACACTACAGCCGGGGGAAGTTGTCACGCTACAGCTGGGGGAAGTTGTCACGCTACAGTCGGGGAAAGTTATCACGCTACAGCTGGGGGAAGTTGTCATGCTACTACCGGGGGAAGTTGTTACGCTACAGCCGGGGGAAGTTGTCACGCTAAAGCCGGGGGAAGTTGTCACGCTACAGCCGGGGGAAGTTATCACGCTACAGCCGGGGGAAGTTGTCATGCTACTACCGGGGGAAGTTGTTACGCTACAGCCGGGGGAAGTTGTCACGCTAAAGCCGGGGGAAGTTGTCACGCTACAGCCGGGGGAAGTTGTCACGCTACAGCCGGGGAAAGTTATCATGCTACAGCCGGGAGAAGTTGTCACGCTACAGTCGGGGAAAGTTATCACGCTACAGCTGGGGGAAGTTGTCATGCTACTACCGGGGGAAGTTGTCACGCTACAGCCGGGGAAAGTTGTCACGCTAAAGCCGGGGAAAGTTATCACGCTACAGCCGGGGGAAGTTGTCACGCTACAGCCGGGGAAAGTTGTCACGCTACAGCCGGGAGAAGTTGTCACGCTACAGCCGGGGGAAGTTGTCACGCTACAGCCGGGGGAAGTTGTCACGCTACAGCCGGGGGAAGTTGTCACGCTACAGCCGGGGAAAGTTGTCACGCTACAGCCGGGAGAAGTTGTTACGCTACAGCCGGGGGAAGTTGTCACGCTACAGCCGGGGGAAGTTGTCACGCTACAGCCGGGGGAAGTTGTCACGCTACAGCCGGGGGAAGTTGTCACGCTACAGCCGGGGGAAGTTGTCACGCTACAGCTGGGGGAAGTTGTCACGCTACAGCTGGGGGAAGTTGTCACGCTACAGCTGGGGGAAGTTGTCACGCTACAGCCGGGGGAAGTTGTCACGCTACAGTCGGGGAAAGTTATCACGCTACAGTCGGGGGAAGTTGTCATGCTACAGCCGGGAGAAGTTGTCACGCTACAGTTGGGGAAGTTGTCACGCTACAGCCGGGAGAAGTTGTCACGCTACAGCCGGGGAAAGTTATCACGCTACAGCTGGGGGAAGTTGTCACGCTACAGTCGGGGAAAGTTATCACGCTACAGTCGGGGGAAGTTGTCACGCTAAAGCCGGGGAAAGTTATCACGCTAAAGCCGGGGGAAGTTGTCACGCTACAGCCGGGGAAAGTTGTCTCGCTACAGCCGGGGGAAGTTGTCACGCTACAGCCGGGAGAAGTTGTCACGCTACAGTCGGGCGAAGTTGTCACGCTACAGCCGGGGGAAGTTGTCACGCTACAGCCGGGGGAAGTTGTCACGCTACAGCCGGGGGAAGTTGTCACGCTACAGCCGGGGGAAGTTGTCACGCTACAGCCGGGGGAAGTTGTCACGCTAAAGCCGGGGAAAGTTGTCATGCTACAGCCTGGGAAAGTTGTCACGCTACAGCCGGGAGAAGTTGTCATGCTACAGTCGGGGAAAGTTGTCACGCTACAGCCGGGGAAAAGTTGTCACGCTACAGCCTGGGAAAGTTGTCTCGCTACAGCCGGGGGAAGTTGTCACGCTACAGCCGGGAGAAGTTGTCACGCTACAGCCGGGGGAAGTTGTCACGCTAAAGCCGGGGAAAGTTGTCATGCTACAGCCTGGGAAAGTTGTCACGCTACAGCCGGGAGAAGTTGTCATGCTACAGCCGGGGGAAGTTGTCACGCTACAGCCTGGGAAAGTTGTCACGCTACAGCTGGGGGAAGTTGTCATGCTACAGCCTGGGAAAGTTGTCATGCTACAGCCTGGGGAAGTTGTCACGCTACAGCCGGGGGAAGTTGTCACGCTACAGCCGGGGGAAGTTGTCACGCTAAAGCCGGGGAAAGTTGTCATGCTACAGCCTGGGAAAGTTGTCACGCTACAGCCGGGAGAAGTTGCCATGCTACAGTCGGGGAAAGTTGTCATGCTACAGCCTGGAAAAGTTGTCACGCTACAGCCTGGGAAAGTTGTCTCGCTACAGCCGGGGGAAGTTGTCACGCTACAGCCGGGAGAAGTTGTCACGCTACAGCCGGGGGAAGTTGTCACGCTAAAGCCGGGGAAAGTTGTCATGCTACAGCCTGGGAAAGTTGTCACGCTACAGCCGGGAGAAGTTGTCATGCTACAGCCGGGGGAAGTTGTCACGCTACAGCCTGGGAAAGTTGTCACGCTACAGCTGGGGGAAGTTGTCATGCTACAGCCTGGGAAAGTTGTCATGCTACAGCCTGGGAAAGTTGTCATGCTACAGCCTGGGAAAGTTGTCACGCTACAGCCGGGAGAAGTTGTCACGCTACAGCCGGGGGAAGTTGTCACGCTACAGCCGGGGAAAGTTGTCATGCTACAGCCTGGGAAAGTTGTCACGCTACAGCCGGGAGAAGTTGTCATGCTACAGCCGGGGGAAGTTGTCACGCTACAGCCTGGGAAAGTTGTCACGCTACAGCTGGGGGAAGTTGTCATGCTACAGCCTGGGAAAGTTGTCATGCTACAGCCTGGGAAAGTTGTCATGCTACAGCCTGGGAAAGTTGTCACGCTACAGCCGGGGGAAGTTGTCATGCTACAGCCTGGGAAAGTTGTCATGCTACTACCGGGGGAAGTTGTCAAGCTACAGCCGGGGGAAGTTGTCACACTACAGCCGGGGGAAGTTGTCACGCTACAGCCGGGGGAAGTTGTCACGCTACAGCCGGGGGAAGTTGTCAAGCTACAGCCGGGGGAAGTTGTCACGCTACAGCCGGGGGAAGTTGTCACGCTACAGCCGGGGGAAGTTGTCACACTACAGCCGGGGGAAGTTGTCACACTACAGCCGGGGGAAGTTGTCACGCTACAGCCGGGGGAAGTTGTCACGCTACAGCTGGGGAAATTTGTCACGCTACAGCCGGGGGAAGTTGTCACGCTACAGTTGGGGGAAGTTGTCACGCTACAGCTGGGGAAATTTGTCACGCTACAGCCGGGGGAAGTTGTCACACTACAGCCGGGGTAAGTTGTCACGCTACAGCTGGGGAAATTTGTCACGCTACAGCCGGGGGAAGTTGTCACGGTACAGTTGGGGAAGTTGTCACGCTACAGCCGGGGAAAGTTGTCACGTTACAGCAGGGGGAAGTTGTCACGCTACAGCCGGGGAAAGTTGTCACGTTACAGCAGGGGGAAGTTGTCACGCTACAGCCGGGGAAAGTTGTCACGCTACAGCCGGGGAAAGTTGTCACGTTACAGCAGGGGAAAGTTGTCACGCTACACCCGGGGAAAGTTGTCACGTTACAGCAGGGGGAAGTTGTCATGCTACAGCCGGGGAAAGTTGTCACGCTACTGCCGGGGAAAGGTTAGTGTGAGATTTTCAAACGGGTGCTCCACTTTCCTCACATTGATGCTCAAAAGGCTTACGAACACGCTCTATTACTTACTAGACCATAACACCGGAATTGCAACTTCAAGTTCTGCAGGATGGGACAAGAACTCGACCATTTATTAACCAATTATTATGTTGAATAGGAACAGTAAAAGATCAGAGACAGACATGCATCGCTTTAGGAATATTTGTCTAATCCGATGCATGTCTAATCCCATTTGATTGGAAATAGGTTTACGGATGAGAAAAAGATGTTAGCATTTTTTATAAATGTTTAACCGACCAATAAAACGTTTTTTAAAACAATGTAGAGTGATAAACCAAATCAAACTAATAATAACATCTGAGAACCAAGTTGCATTACACTTAATTTCTGTTCATGTCCAACACCGTCAAACTCACTAACGTAAAAGTCTGGAAACTCATGACGACAACCGTAGGCGAGCACCTGTCCAGGCGAGTGTGGGGCGATCCGTCTCAGCACTGTGAGTGGTGCCCCGCACTCGCGGTCGTAATCCTGGCGAGGGTAAGAGGTTAGGTTAGGGTGAGCCCCTGGGCAGGTGCAGTACCTGAGGTGTGTGTGTGTGTACTAACCTAGTTGTTCTTGCGGGGGTTGAGCTCTGGCTCTTAGGTCCCGTTTATCAACCGTCAATCAACTGGTGTACAGATTTCTGAGCCTACTGGGTTCTGTTATATTTACATAGGAACCTGTGTATGGAGTCAGTCTCCACAAGATCACTTCCTAATGCATTCC